AGGCCCTATTCATTCCACATTACAAGCTATTTCTAAGTTTCTGCCATAGTAGTCTTATGTGCATCTCACATCTCTTTGGACAAAGAACAAGGACTTTCTAGGGCTAAGGCCCAAGAGGGAAACTCCTGGAAGGCAGGTTACTCCTACTATGACTCCAAATGGGAGACCAGTTACCACAACACAGTCCCACCAGTAATACAAAAGGGCTCCTCTCTGCATGTCTTTGCCAAAGCCTAGTGCTGTTATTATTAATTTATTCCAGTTCAGTGGACAAGAAATAGTATTTTATTTTGTATTTGTGAAGTATTTGTGGGGTTGAGTTTTGATGTATTCAGGAAGAAAACTCAAAGCCACCATCTGATGGTGATGGAAAGTATCTTGGGAGGCGTAAGAGAGATCAGATTTCTATCCAGGTCTCTCCCAGCACTAGGACACTTCTATACCATGTGAGGTAGCTTTCCTCTATGAGGATGTCTTACTCAAAGAGGTCTGTGGTACTGAGTTTTCTTTTATATTTAAGGTCAGGCTAAACATATTAGTGGAGACAAAAAAAGAATAAAACAAGATACTTACCTTCAAATAACTAAAAAATATTATGGTGAAAAGCAAAGACCTTCACATCTACACACACAAACACACACACACACACACACACACACACACCCCAAATTACAAGGATAAATGTCAAAGAAATAATGTAGACAACAATTAGACTATAATCTATATAAGAGCCAGCACTAGGTTTTATTCTCCCTATATTTCCAACATTCAAGCCTCAGCAAAGGCTTAAAAATGAACAAATGGGTCGGTAGAGTCATTCAAGACCAAGAATTGGACCGGTGCAGCAGGCTTCATGACAAGGACAGGGTGTGCGGTGGGACACTGCAGAACGAGAAAGATGAGGATGTACAGGACCAGAGTAACTGAAGCAAGGGGTGCAGAGCTTCAGAACATCTCTGCCATGGGATATCATCCTGTGCAGTCCCTGCTCAGGACTAGAGGTGCATCTATTTTAGGTCTTTGCTCCATACCAGGCAGACAGTGAAAACATGACATGCATAATTTCATGGAGTCTTCACAACCATAACAAGGCAGAATTATTATCATCTCTGTGGAGAGGCTCAGAGATTAGTTTGAGTGGATTACAAGTGGGTCCCCACCCAGTAAGTAGCAGTGCCAGGATTTAAGTAGATTCCTCTCCCTCACAAAGCCACCTTCTTAACCTCTCTTTCTGTCTTCAAAAACACTGTTAATTATGGTAAGATGTACATAAGTAAAATTTACCATCTTAACCATTTTAAATGCTAATAGGTCAGTATATTCATATTGTCATATAATCAGTCTCCAGAACTCTTTTCTTCTTCTAAAACTGAAAAGCTCTACCTATTAACTCCCTCTTCCCTTTTTCCCTAAGCCCCGGAAACCAACATTCTACTTCTTGTCTCTATGAATTTGACTATTCTAGGTACCTCATAAAAAAGTAGGATTATACAGTATTTGTCACTTTGTGACTGTTGCTGCACTTAGCATGTCTTTAAGTTGTGTGTGTGCAAAGGAAGAATTTTCTTTCCTTTTAAGGCTGAATAATATTCCTTGGTGTGTTCACACCACATTTTATTTATCCAATCATCTGTCAACAGTTGCTCCTACTTGAGGCTACTATGTAATGGTGCTATAGTTGTGAGTACACAAATATCTCTTTAAGACTCTGCTTTCAATTCTTTGTTATATCCAGAAGTGGACTTGGTGGATTATATAGTAATTTTATTCTTAATTTTTTGAGGCACCACTATACTGTTTTCCAAAGCATTTGACATTCCCACCAACAGTGCACAAGGGTTCCAATTTGTCCACATCCTCTCTGCCTCTCTTTTTACTGCTGCCCATAAGCAACCCCACAATGAAAAGCGCTGCTAAGTAAACCATACATTTGCAAACCACTCTAGCCAATGTGTGACTGGCTTCATTTCAGCTGTCCACCAATCCAAGCAAGATGGAGCTAATGCTTAAAAAAATCAAGCCTACGCTCTAATCCAGGAAGGCATGCCAGGTCACCAGGCCTGTGTCCTCACTGCTGTGTCCTGACCCTTTCCCCACTATACCAAAGCTCATAACAGAAGCCCATGCTCCACTCTCTCCAGGTATCTCATGACCTCCCTCCTCCCGCAGCATTCAGTTTATTTTCTGTCACCAACATTGTCAGTGACTACACTGAAAAGCTGTGTCAATCGCTTCTTTGTCTGAAAAGGGGACATTTATCATTTGCTATTCTAAATCTGAAAACATCATAACCAACCCGTGGGCGTTGGCTCACATTACACTCTGTAATTTCAGTTAGTGAGTTAATGGGAAAGACGCATTAACATTCTGTTTGTGGTTTAAAATACATATTTACACAGTTTGACTTTTCATATCCCCAAACTTATAATTTATCCATCATTATGTTCCCTATTCTCTACTCTTGAACATTAACTGCCCTCATTTAAGTGATGAAGGATGGGGAGGCAAGCTGTGGTGGTTTCGTGCAGATGGAAAGCCGATCAGCTCCGAACAGAGCAGTGTACTCTCTCCCAGTGGTTAGGGAAGGAAATGGCTCCGGTCGAAATCTCTGAGTTAATGGGTTCATGCAGAGCTATCGCCTCCAAACATAACAGACAAGAATGACTGGGCTGGAGCCCTGTGTCAACTCTACCATTTATGTGTGGGACCAGACAGGGCGATGACTGTGCGGGCTGACAGCTCCAGTTCCACCAACTGGGCTACTGCAGATCAAAGGACTTGGATAAACTTCCTGCTTCATCTTCTTCCTCGTTTTAGTATCAAATATCTTCATTTTTGACCGATGCATTTAACTTATCCAACTCATTCTTAAATCCCACCATGTGTCCATGAACAATCAAACAGAGAGAAGAAGTGTTGAATACCAGAAAGGATGCAAGCTTTAGAGTCGGACAGACCTGGGTTCAGATCCATGCTCTGCCACAGATAAGCTGGAGGAACTTGGGTGATTCACTGAGATCCTGAGAGTTGTTGATTTCATCTGTGACAGGAGTTACATAAAAGTGACCTCAGGGACAATGGCTGGCGTTTGAGGCACACATCTTAGTGCTAGTGCATAGCACTCTACTCATTACATCTACTCATTTGATTCTGCTATAGTCCTGTATAAAGAATGGCAAGGAAAGTGTCTTTAACCTCTAACCTCAGTGTCTTGCTCAAAGACTTCCATAAAGCAAGAACTTAGTGAATGTCTGGTGCATGCTGAATTAATCACAGGGACAGAAGCACTGCCACACTCAACCAACAAGAATTAGGAAGACTTTTGTCTATGAGAAAAGTCAAAGATGGAGAAAGGATCTTATCAGGATCACAAAGGATAAATAAAGAGAAAACATCTGTTCATTTTATCGTAGAGTATGGGAAGAAAGAAGAGAGTCTGGAAGCTTGAGTGAAGGAGTAAATTTTAAGAAGATAGAAGAATTATTTTATTGACCTTATAAATGCACTGACCTTTGAACTGGTACAAGCTGAAACGACCAACATATTCCACAAAGCTTCAAGTAAAGTTATCAACAACAGACTTACAAGTAACTCACTGGCCATCTACAAAATAAATAATTAGGAAGTAAGTTAGGTTTAGGTGCCCGCCAGGCTTTCTGTTTGAGGATCTGCACTTCTCTCCTGCCTGGTTTCCATTCAGATATTAGTGTCAGCATCTAATTCACATTATTTTCCCTTGGGGCCTTCCTGCTTATTAAATCCCCACCCTCAAGTCTCAAGTTGTACTTCCTCCAAAGGGCAGTGAAATCTTAATAGAACCCCCCCTCAATCAACAGAACAAAGCTCTGCAGGAAAGAGGAAGCTATTGGGGGGAAGGAGCATTCCTCACTCAGGGCCTGCAGCGGCTATCTTTGGTTCCAGACAGAGGATGGCCAGGAAAGAAGCAGAATGGAGCGACCTGTCTTGTCTGCTGTGATCCGGATGCCACCAGCTTCTGCTGTAATACAGCAGGGGTGGATCACTCTCCTCTCCACCAGGCTTATGTGCCACCATCAGTCAGTTCTGATGTTTAGAGAGTTCTTGGTCTATTTTCAGGCATTGGGGAAATTAAAGTTTGTGTCACTGAGCAACGGCATAATGGCTGCTGGCTTCTCTTCCTTTTGAGGCCCTGTATCTGCAGTCCACTGGTCCTGTTTCTGGCCTGCAGAGTGGGGCCCTGTTCCCCTCTCCCACAGGAAGCCTTTCAGATATGGAACTCACTCCCTTTGAAATTCCTCTAACTTCTTTGATCTCCAGGCTAAATTCCCCACCTAACCATGTCCACAATGACTCAGATGATCTGGTTGTGAAAGACCCTAAGCATCCTCCCAAGATGATCCTGTGTGACTGACCTTGTAGAGTCAATGAAAAATTTTATCTCCCTTGAGACAGTCACTAATGTGGGGCATGGGATGCAAAAACAGCCTAATCAGAAGTTATCAAGAGCACAAAGGCATAAAATGACCATAAAAACCTCTAGGAACCTTAGAGAGGAAGCAATCTCCATTCTGTTTACAGTGGATCTGGAAGTCATAGAGAAAATAAATAGCAGAACCTGTTCAAAAGCCCTCGTCCTACAATTCCAAGGCCAGAGCAAAAAGTTCTGCTTTCCACTCTTCCCTGGAGGAGAGAGTATCTGCCCCCTAAGAGATGCTCTGCTTTACCCATAGCACCCCTATGTAATTCTTCCACCTGACACTGGGGTGCACTGGCCTGCCACCCGCCCCAGGCAAATCTGAAAGTCTGCCAATGCTGGGGATGATTTACAGGGCCTAGAAGATGATTTTCCAAGAAAACACTTCATATAATTGGCCTTTGGTATATCTCCTTGGAGGTGATTTATTTGTCTAGGACAAGCCAAGGAACGTCTCTCCCCACCTCTGCAAAGCCTCTGGTCCCTGGCCTCAAAGTTCAGCAAGTTTCTGGCCAGAGAATGTTCTTCCTCTCCGCCCACTCAGCCCTTTTTTTTCCTTGTGGTTTGCAATCTCATTTGCTAAATATACTAAGATGGTCTGTACACAGCGGTCTGCAGTTCCAGAATGTGCCTGGCTTCCTTTGGCTGGGAACGTCTCTCATAAATCACCGTGCAGGCAGCTGCCATCCATTTATATCCATGACCTACCAGGGCTGAGAGCTCAAGTTCTTCCACAGTGACGCCTTCCCATTCAGGGCCTTCCATGACAGGAGAGCCACCCTCTCCTGCCACAAGCACACAAGTACTTATCCACGTGGGAACCATGGAGAAGGGACTCAAATACTTAAACACATTCAAGGAGTAACTTTAACGATCAATTATTTATGAGTGTTGAGTGACAATGGCAGGTCTAAACTAAATTACCCTGCACACAAGCTCCAACATGGGTATGAAGAGGCAGTCTGAGTGGATGAAGCCAAAGCTGGTTGAAGAGACGAGCAAAGAAATTCTCCAGCTTTGCAAGTATCTTCTGACTTTTACTAGCCCCACTGTCACATCCACTCCCAAGAAGGCCCTGAAGAACTGTCTGAAAGATGAGGCGCTCCCAGGGAGGGAGAAGTAGAAATGGAGGGTAGCAAGAGCAAGACTCCTTTCCAAAGGCTTGGAGGGGGCTCCAGGTAAACTTACCCCACTGGGCAGCACCCCCTGCAGTGGAGTGCTCTGAATTCAGGAGGAACTGGGCCTTTCCTGTGGAGTGAGCCAGGGGGCTGGAAGGAAATCAGAATGTTCACTATGGGGCCCCCCAAAGGGAAATTTCAGTTCACATGTGTCTCCAATAGTCTGCAAACCTGAGGAGACTAAAATATGGTGGGGAGGCATGAGAAGTGTGGGAAGGAAGAGGTACAGAAGGAGCAAAGGAGTCAGTGATTGACCCCCAAAGGTGGGAACAGCTGCTGAAGGTAGACACTTGGGTTCCTCAGAAAGGCCTTTGCCCCCGAGAGAGGCTGTGTTCTGGTGAAAACCCTCATTGGGAAGAAGGAGGAGTCGGGATCACTAAGTAAGATGGCAGAGGTTTGGACTACCTGGAAATGAGCAGCCGGAGCCAAACTTCCCCCAGCACAGTGGAGGGATTTCCATGCAGGACTGTCCTCCTGTCCCCAAACAGCACCTCACAGCATTGCTCCACAGAAACACACAGCCACTCTCCAGGGACACGGGGTGGAGGCGGGGCTTAGGGAATGGAAGATATCATCATGCCTACAGGGTAAGGGTCATGGGGCAGTAAAGTGACCTCTGCCTCCATCCCAGCCCCAGCCAAGCCTTCTGCAGGAGTGTGCAGGCCAAGCACGCTTGATCTTGGCTGGGGAAAGAAGCTTTTCCTCCCAGCTGCTTCAGGGGACTGCTGGAAAACAAGTGCAAGATTGCATTACCAATTTCTGTTGGCCTAACACAATGAAAACCCATATCTAATTTGCTGTCCACTATCCCCTAGGTCCCCTTCAGCATTTACTGCTTTCCAAATATCTTCCTCCCATTGAATATCTGTATTTCACATTATTTGTCCCCAGCTGTATTAGGAAGCATTTACTGCAGCTGAATCTCATCTAGTGATTTCCTGTCCATATGCCTGACAGCTCCAGGTCCCTTTATGTCACGTCTCTGTCATTGGTGGGGTTTGTAATACCTCTCCATTTAGAGCAATATACAGATTTAATTAGCATATTCTTTACAACCTTTTCTAGGTTATTAACACAGATGCAGAACACAACTGACACAATAATCCCTGTGGCACCCTGTGGCTTCTGAATCATGTCACATGCCTCTCTCCAAGGCCAAGACAAAATGGTCCATTCAGCACACTGAAAGTACTTGTGCTGAGTCCCTTTAATCATGAAATAGACAAAAGGACCCTTGGTCCAGTGTAATGAAAATGACACTGAGCCAAGACCTAAGAGAAGAAAAATGTAGTCCCAGCTCTACTATTAATAAGCTATGTAACCTTGAGTAAGCCACTTCTACACTCATTTAGTTAGTAAATATGTTCGTTATTGGTTCTCACAAAAGACTTAAGAAAGATCTAAATAATTCTGATAATAATAATCCCAACATTGGATACTTTTTCCTAAGCTGCTATTATGTGCCAGGTACTTTACATGTATCATTTGTAACTTTCCCCATAAACCTATGTGGTTAAGTGTCACGATCGATCTGCATTCGCTGATGAGAAAACTGAACTGAAAGAGACTGAAGGACTTGCCAAAGGTCACACTGATGAAAAACTGACTCAATTTGGTACCTTTCTGACTTGAAGGAATACTGCTCAATACTTTTGTTGAGCCAGCTCGCTGGATGCTAAGAAAAGTGGCATCTACACAAACTGTTCCTCCTCCACCAAGCTTGCCCTGTCCCCAGCTGCTTGCCCACATGGTCTTCCTCAGTCCGTGAACACTGGCAGTGTATCACATCCAAGCCCTATGTGAGCCAAAAAGCTTTGGTGATGAGTGATGCATATTACTGGGAAGGATTTGTGAGCAAATGAGTTTGAGAATCACAAGGTTAAACAAAGTTCGACCAACTTCTTCCCCACAAAGCTCTTTAGAATCTGTGATTTCTCAAGGTACACTAGATAGCTCCTAAAGAGACAGGGGATGCAGCATTCTCCATATATTTAATTGCAGGAAGCTCCTAGGCTAAGCATCCCAGAAAACCAATCCTCCCTAGATCCAACCTTGGAATATGTTGAGGTACGGGATCTAAGGAAGGCAGGTGTCTCCCAGAGCAGCCTCCAGCAAGCTCCTGCCTACCTTGAGATTCTTAAACCAAAGACATCCAGAGGAGGTCTTGGGCCTATGAGCTGTGCTGCTTGGTATTGTTAGGTAACTCTTTGTGTTTATGGCTTCAGTTGTAAGTTCAAGGAGGTCAGAGAAGGTACTTGATTCAGCTCCCCTGATCCTAAGGCTTCTGTTTCCTTTCTTTCTTTTTTCCCCTTCATTTCCCACTTCCCACCATATACACCCACTCTGATGTTAAAATGAGCCCTTGCAAAATAAGTTTCTGCTTTTGCTGCCAATATGTTTTAAGGCAGGTAAAAGGCACTGAGTATGTATTTTGTTTCTTAGTCTTTCAATTAAATAAATGCTTTTTTATATTTGTTATAAAATAGTTTTATTTCTATTTGGGTATGGAAGACCAACAGATCAGGAGAGGATCACTACTAAAATTTATTACTCACAGTTGCCAAGAGACAGAGGCGTGCTGTGTTTTTAAGATATTAGTCCCAGTTTTGTTTTTGTTTTTGTTTTTGTTTTTGTTTTTGTTTTTGTTTTTTGGCACTGGGGATCAAATTCAGTCCTTGTGCTTGCAAGGCAGGCGGCAGAACTGCTGAGCTAAATCCCTGGCCCATGCCATGTTATGCAGAGCTAAGAGAACAAGCAGCAAAGCAAGTGAGGAAGCAGAAGGAGGGTGGGAGTGTGCACAAGGCAAGGTTAGGCCTAGGCTGGCTAGTGTGAATAACTACAGGAGTCTCTGGGGTGTGGGGCTCCCCCAAGAGCTGCCTCGCACCTGGTCCTGGTATGATTAGAGAGGAAGCATAAGTCTCAGGGAGTGTAAGGACCAGCATAGGTTCCTGATTGGTTAGTTTGCATATGAAAGGCACACTCCTGGGCAAGTCATTTGCAGTTTCAAAGAATTGGCTGGCCCTGGGAAGGGCAGTCATTCCCGTCAGCAAAGCCCCAGATGCTAGCTTATCAAAAATACAGAAAATAAGAAAATATAGTCAATACAATCAAGCCTACATTGCCATGCATCCACTCAATCCTTGCTTCTAACTACTTCACAGTCCTCCAAGGCCTCTACCACATTTCACCCTCCAATCTCCCAGTGTTTCCTTCAACTCAAAGTTGCCTTCCACTCTCCAGCATCACAAAGAATACTTTAATGAAAATCCTCGTACACACCTCCTTATGGACCTATGTAAGAATTTCATTAGGCTATATATCTTAGAGTGGAATTGCTGGGTCAGAGGGTATGAGTATATTAATTCAACTCAATAAAGCTCCCCGCATGCCAGAATTGCGACACTTCTACCAGTACAGCATGAGGGTTCCTATGAACCCTCTACCATTTGCCATGAGCTGGTTTTTTAATTATTCTAGTCTAACCGGTACAAAGTGATCATTTATTCTTATACTAATTTAAATTTCTCTGGCTCCCTGTAACTATCCAATATGTGTTTGCTAAACCAGTTCTAAGAAGCAATAAATACCCAATGGGAAGTGATAAACACAGTTTTTCTTAGAGTTGCAGGTACAAAAGATACCTAGATCTTGTTCATCTCGCCAGAAGCTCATGGGCAAGGGCACCAACTACAATTTGCTCAAGACTGTGTTTCTTGCTCTGATGACTGAGACCAGAGACTGATGCAACAGCATACAAGACAAATCTTGTCATGTTGGATAGTTTGTCACAATGTGACAGGCCAGGAAACCCAGGCTAAACAAAGGGTACAATGTAGATATCTTCTAGGTCATTAGTAGATTAGTAGTTGGAGGTTGAAGGACTAGGATATGGAAATATTTATCTCATTTCCATGCTCCTTGGTTCTAGAATACGAAATCACTGAAATCTTAAAATAAGAAATGTAATCTACGAAATGTGAGCTAATCAAAGCAAAAATCTATACAATGGAGTAAGAAATAGTTTTTAATATGCATGCTTTAATATGATAGTTTTTACTATGTATGCTATATATATAGCTATACATGTAAATATATAAACTTATAAATCTACTCATCTGGTAATTATTTACATACTTGCAAATGTGTGGTTCTTAAACAGCTCTGTTTCTATAGAGTTTTTCTATGCTTCAAATAAACTGCAACCCTTATTTCTAACCTGTACTCAGTCAAGTTTCTGCTCTCAAATCCCAAATAACAGAATACTGCTTGTATAGATGGACTTTCATTAGTCTCATTTTAGACAATAGGATTTAAAAGAAAGTAAAAACCTAAAACATTAATAAAAACATGCTATATAAACCCATATCATCCTATATACCATGCTTTATAAAGCCTGTATCATCTATATTAGAGACAATCTGTGGCTGACTTTATATAAACATACACCTTAGGCAATCTAACAGCAATAAGTAATTTTTAAACGGGACAAGTGGTAAGTGTGAATGCTAAGAAGGAAGGGCTGGTGCAAACTCTGATGTTGAATACACAGGGAAACATAAGGGTGTTGCCAGGGCCATTTCAGACTTTCTTTCTCAGCTTTATTTTTTTCTCTGCTCCCAGGAAGGAAGACTTTCCTGGAACCACTGAAAGTAAACTGCTGCTCTGGCCCTGAGTCCCACCTAGGGCTCCTGGACAGAAGTGTCATGGTGTGAAGACACAGCCTATCGGGAAAGAGAGATTGCTAACCTGCTAATTTAAAACATGAGCAAACTCTGACATGCCATGGGCCTTTGGAAGAGGCATTTGCTTTAGAGCACACAGTCTATTCTAACTCCCTGACTTATGTAGATGGGCCAAATGGTTCCCTGGGTACACTCATCCACACATCAGCCTGAATTAGCTAGTAAATCACAACTGCAGTAGCTAATAACAGCCATAAAGCCTTTTGAGTTTTACAAGGTGTTTATAATGGGCAACTCACTATGATTTATATGAAAAACATGAGTCAGCTCCTGAGACAAATCTGATACGTGGACAGTGGCCTTGTGGTGTGACCTCTAGCAAGCATCCAAATAAACTGCAGAATTTCCCTCTGGCCCAAGGCTGGCCACTGTCTCATACATATATTTTCAGAACACCAGTTGGTAGGAGAACTGAGCACGGGCTCAGGTGGGTTTTCAATGCTGAGATGCCATCAGGAGGAAAGGGACTAACTCAATGAAGCTAAAATACTAAGGTTAGTGTAGGGCTGTTTCTAAGTGCGGCCCTATGGAGAATATAATAGATTATGTGCAGTCCCTGCCCTCCCAGTTGAGAAAGCAAGAGGGATACACACGAACATTAGAAAACAGTATGTTCTGTAAGAGTGTGGTTAAAGAGAAGTAACTAAGTGGCCCGGGGATTTAGCTCAATGGTGCCGCCGCCTGCCTCGCAAGTGAAGGACCCGGGTTTGATCCCTGGAACCAAAAAAACAAAAACAAAAGGAAATACTAGGGTCTGGGGTCTGGGGATTACTGAGGCCCCAATTTTGAGTGGGGGCTTTGTAGAGGACAGGATCTGAGTTGGGTCTTGAAGGATTTACAAGAGGAGAGGTAGGAAATATATTCCCTAGAAGGGGAATGAATGAGTGAAGACATAAGGTCAGCAGCAATGATGGCGTGCATAATTCTGAAGGACAGGGAAGAGGAGAAAGAAGTTCTTGAGACACCTACTAACCTAACCTAAGAACTGCACTGAAGAACAGTGGGAGATGAGGTCAAAATCACACTGCAGAACTCAAGAGTTGGCACCGGATAACCACAGGCATCCTGGACAGAAGGCTCTGGGCTCACAATATTCCTGATATAGAAGGCCCAACCCAACTAAAGGAGAGCAGCACATGAGTCAGGGCCTTCCCCTTACTCCTTACTGTTACAAAAACTGACACAGGTGACTTATCCAGAGCATTTTTTAAAAACAAAACAAGACAAAATCATTCCCCATTATTACTGGATGATTGATTTGAGGTTTGGTCTGGCCTCTGTATATTCTGTTGTCCTGGGAGAAAACGATTTTATTCCCTTGACTTATTTTCTTTATTCCTTGCCATAGATATTCCCTTTGGTTTAAATATTTTGCTGTCAAGACTTGCTTTTTAATGGGATATTGTTCTTCTCTTGCTCAACCTATGTGGGGCCCTAAGCCTTTTTCCAATCTCCCTGACTCCCTGGGGACTTCACTACTGAAAGCTACTTAGGGCTCTTCACACAAGGACTCCCATGCGTCTGACAAGACTTGCTCCTCAGGCCTGGCCTGTTCTTTTCTTGAGGTGCTCATCCAGTCAGCCCGGAGAGGAGCAGACACCATCCACCCTTCCCAACCATCAAGAATTGCATATGTAACTGCAAGCCCAACTCTGATTCTTCCTTCCACAGCCCAGTCAAAACTTGAAAAGCAATGTAAAAGACTCTGTGAAAATTCTGTCCATCTGACTCTAACATTGAGAATGTGATCAACAAGAACAGAATAAGGTGGATGGATCAATTTACCTAAAAGATGCAATCTATAATATTCATTTACTTCATCAGGCATACACAATAGGAAATTTTGTAGCACCAAGGCACTGTAGCAGAACTCAATGTAGTAAGATAAAAAAGAAACTTAAGTCTATGTTCTCTAGAAAGTGACTGTTTTAGTTGCTTTTCTATTAAAATCTTCCAAGAACCCTAATACTTAACACCACAAACATAGGATGGATTGGTAGACAGATACTTGGATGGAGAGATGGATGACTGCATAATGTAGAGGAGAGATGAAAGAGGTGGATGGCTGTGTGGATGGGTAGATGGGTGGGTGGATGGATGGATGGATGGAAAAAAGAACTGAACAACTAGAGCTTGGCATTAGGTTGGTAGAAACTAAAAAATTGGTGAAAAAAGACTTTCCAAAAGAGAATACATTTGAAATATAATTTAGGATCTTTGATGAACGAGAGGGATATATCTGTTTTGTGTTAACTC